AGTAGCCGGAATTACAGGCATGCGCTACCATGCCCGGCTGATTTTTTAATTTATTGTAGAGATGAGGTCTCGCTGCCCAGGCGGGTCTCGAACCCGCGGGTTCAGGCAATCCACTCACCTCAGCCTCCCAAAGGCACGGGATTACAGGCTGAGCCACCAAGCCCGGCCCAGCTAATTTTTTAATCTATTGTAGAGACAAGGTCTTGCCAAGTTGCCAGGCTGGTTTCAAACCCGTGGGCTCAGGCAATCCTCTCACTTCGGCCTCCCAAAGTGCTGGGATTATAGGCATGAGCCACCTCGTCCAGCCTCAATTTTTGCTTGTTTTAATATTTTTGTAGAGACGGTGTCTCGCTCTATTGCCCAGGCTGGTCTCGAACTCCTGGGCTTACGCCTCAGCCTCCCAACGTGTTGGGATGACAGGCGTGGGCCATCATGCCTGGCCAGAAGCTGTATTTCAGAGGAAAATGGAGAAGTCTTTGGGCTTATTGGCTCAAGGCAGGTTCTTGGGGACCCCAGTGTGAAGCTGGAATGACATGGCCAGCTCTACCTAGAAGGATGCCAGGGCAGAGAAGGATGCCAGAGAAACAGGGAAGGAGGAGCTGAGGCTGGTCCCCTGGGGAGGGGCTGTGGGAGCATTTGTGAGCTGGGAGTGGAGGACCAGGGTCCCTTCCCACCCTCACCCTGCCCTGCCCAGGGTGCATCCAGGCTTGTGCAGAAGAGAAGGGGTTGGAGCAAGCCATAGGATTGTGAAGCCAGGCCCTTGTTGGGGGCAAAAGGGTGGAGAGAAAGAAGAGGATGCTGTGGTCCAGCAGCGTCCCATAACAGCAGCTCCGACCTGGGATGCCTTGGGCTGCAAGTAAGGTCTTCCCTGGAGCCCCCAGGTAGGAGGAGGAGGATGGACCCAGCACTGCCCCTGGTGCAGACGCCATCTTCTCACTCCACAGGCCACGAAGTAGGCTCTGAGAGAAGTCACGTGCCCATGATCACACAGATTTATTAGCTGGACAAATATTGATGGGGCACCTTCTATGTGCCAGGCACTGGGGACACAACTGAGAACAGACCGAGGACTCCCGCCCTCCTGAAGCTCACATTCTCCCTGGGGAGACGGGTGACACGCTAACCAGTGAGTGGCACGTGTTGTCAAGAGGAGACATGTGCTGTGGTGGGAATGTACAGCGGGATGGGGTGTCAGGGGGTGTCGTTTGAGTGTGGGCAGGGTGGGGAGGTGCTCAGGACGGGCCCCACTGAGAGCAAAGACTTGGAGGATGGGAAATGGCACATGCTAAGGCCCTGTGGTCATCAAAGCACGCTGTAGGCCTCTGGCTTTTTTCTTTTCCCCTTGATTCAGGGTCTCTGTTGCCCAGGCTAGAGCGCAGTGGCATGATCACAGCTCTACCACAGCCTCTACCTCTTGGGCTCAGGCAATCCTCCTGTCTCAGCCTCCTGAGTAGCCGGGACTACAGGTGCATGCCACTATGCCTGGACAATTTTCTTGATTCCTTGTAGAGTCAAGGTCTCACTATGTTGCCCAGGCCAGTTTTGAATTCCCAGGCTCAAGCAGTCCTCCCGCTTTGGCCTCCCGAAGTACTGACATGAGCCACCACACCCAGCTAGGACTTTGACTTTTTCTCTGAGCTGGCAGAAACTTCTGGAAGGAGGATAGTGAAGAGGGAGACCCCGGTGGAGGCAACTGTATCAGTTCATGCAATGGCAGGAGAAGTGAGCAGTGAGTGATTCTGAACATGGTTTGACAACAAAATCCATGGGCTTTTCTTAGGGACTTGGAGGCAGTGTCGAGGGAAGGGAGGAGGTGAGGATGACCCCAGTGCTGGCCTGAACAACTGGTAGAGGAGTCTGATGGGGTGTCCTGCAATACTGACCTCCCCCTGTGACCTCAGGGGCATAGGCTGACCTTGGCTAAGCCCGGGGCAGGTGCTGACCTTGACCGACCCTGGTCAAGCCTGGAGCTGGTGCTGACCTTGGCTGAGCCTGGGCTGATTCTGCTGGGGGCTGGCATCCCTAGACCTGAACTGGCCTCTGGGTGACCAGGCCAACTTCTCAGCGACCTGTCCAGCCGGCCAGCACTTGCTGAGCACCTTCTATGTACAGGCCCTGTCCCGGGCACTTCCTATGCATGAACTCATGCCCTCCCCCTTCCCTGCCCTCTGTGATATCCCCAGGAGCCCACTAGACCCCAGAGTCTTCATCTCTGGGCTCTACCTAGTATGTTTTCCTTATAATGAAGCAGGAAAAAATGTAAAAGCCAGGGAAGATACAAATTCCTTTCAGAATGTCAAAGGTGGTCTCAGACACCAGGCTCTGGAATTTCTAGTTCCACATGCCTCATCCAGAAACTAGGCCCACCCAGGCCTCTGGGGACCAGTTGAGGGTGGGTTGAGCTTATTGACACAAGCTGGGCTGGAGGACTCATTGTCTGAGCTGAGGGGGTGGGGATCTGTGTCCTGTGGTGCTGAGGACATAGGGGCTGCGTCTGGGGTTGGGAGTGAGGAGGGGACACCCTGATGAGGTGGGGTCCAAGGAGGAACTGGGGATGGGCCAGGTGCCTCAGTTGGGGTGGGAGAAGACGTCACGGGGATCTTCCAGCTACAAAGAGACATCCAGGCCTTGACCGGGGGTCTTTAGGGTCTCGCTCTGGGCCTGGCTGTTCCCATGCTCAGGGTGGGGGAAGGGCTAGGTATGGTGGCTCACACCGGTAATCCCAGCACTTTGGGAGGCTGAGGTGAGAGGAGCACTTGAGGTTAGGAGTTTAAGGCCAGCCTGGGCAACATAGCGAGACTCTGTCTCTACAAAAATAAAAATAAAAAACTAGCCAGGCATGATGACACGCATCTGTAATCCAAGCTACTGAGTGGCTGAGGTGGAAGGATCACTTGAACCCAGGAGTCGGAGGCTGCAGTGAGCTCTGAGGGTGCCTGGGTGACAGAGCAGGACCCTGTCTCACAAATAAAAGATTTTTAAAAGGTGAAGAGTGGGAGAGACACAGAAGGGTCAGGCAGGCAGCTGCTAGGATCTTTGTCTCAGAGCAGGTCCTGGGGGCGCCTGCGAGGCCGAGGCGGTAGACGGTGTGCAGGTGGCCAGCCGGTCGCACACCCAGGCATCCAGCTTGCTGCGGCAGAGGATGTCATTCCAGTGGCCTGAGCCCTGCATCATGACACAGTCCTCACCCTGGCCATGGTTGTTCGGTTCCCCCGGAAGCCAGTTGCTGGGGCGAAAAGCTCTGGGTCAAAGGATGGGATGTGGGGAAGAAACCCTACTCCCGACGCACTACTGCCTGGACGCACCCCTCTGAGGCTGAGCCCTCCCTTCTCAGTGCAGGCTTCTCCTGTCTGCATCTGTGCTGGGACCCCTCCTCCATTTTCATATCCCTCTCCCCTGTAGCCCAAGACTTGCCCTCTCAATCTGAACTTGGCACGCCTGTCATCTCAGCACTTTGGAAGGTGGAGGCAAGAGGATTGCCTGAGCCCAGGGGTTCGAGACCAGCCTGGGCAACTTGGCGACACCTCGTCTTTACAATAAATCAAAAAATTAGCCAAGTGTGGTGGAATGTGCCTGTAGTCCTCAGGAGGCTGAGGCAGGAGGATCGCCTGAGCCCAGCAGGCTGAGGCTGTGGTGGCTGTGAGCGTCCCACTGCACTTCAGCCTGGGTGACAGAGTGAGACACTGACTCAAAAAAAAAAAGACAATCTGTGCTTGGGGCTCCCTGGGAGTCCCTGCTCTAACCCCTCCCTGTAGGCCGAGAAGTCCTGGCCTTCCCCTCCCCATCCCACTCTCATCTCTACCCCAGAGACCTGAGCCCTGATACCCTCCCGGCTGAAGGAGCTTCATTCAGGAAGCTCCTCCCCCTACAATATTCCCACTTTCCCATCAGATCCCAGAGGCTCCGTCTCCAAGTCTGGGGCTGCCGTCTCCTCACCTGTAGTCCACGGGGCTCCCATCCATCCAGATAAACTCCCCCTCCACGTCCAGGTCCCGAAGGCCGATCCAGGAGCCCTTCTTGCTGGCGTGTTTGGTCAGAAAGTCCTGGGGGGCAGGACAGGGCTGGAGGACCAGGGCGCGTACCCGGTTCCCTCCCACCCACTGCAGGAGGTCGGAGTGGGGTGCAGTGGAGCGGGATGCCACGTGCTGCCCATGGCCTCCGCAGCACCCGGGCCCACCTGCTCTTCCGGGCTGTGGATGCTGACCAATCGCCCTCCCACGTCACTGCAGGCGTACCGGGCTTGGATCCACTGCTTGGCGCCCTCCCCAAAGTAGTAGCACTTCCGCTGGAAATTGACCCAGTTTCCGGGACACGTGTTGCACACAGAGCCTGGGGTGGAAGGGGAGACTCAGGGGGCGCCAAGGCAGATGCCAAGGTGGGTACAGTGGGCAGGATGGGTGGTGGCGTCTCTCCCCAGGTCTCCTGGGGTCTGGACTGAAAGCAGACCCACCCCAGGTCCTAACAGTCACCCCCCCCCATGGACTGCCTTCACTGGAGCTGTGACACTGACCAGTTCCAGGGCACAAGCACCTCCGTCGTCAGCACCATCACCACAAAGGCTACCACGGTCAGCAGAATGGCAGCCACCAGCCCTGTCACCACCAACGCCAACACCACGACCACATTCATGTGCATCACCACAAGCACCTCCATGACCAGTGGCACCTTAACCACCATTGTCATCACCTGAAACCTGCGGTGGGCAACGCTTCAACCACCAACACCATGACCACGGGCAGCAGCATCTCAGTCACAGATACCAGAACCAGGAACACATGTATGACCAACAATACTTCAACCACCATCATCACCACCAGCACCTCCATGGCCAAAATCACCTCAACCACCATGATCATAGTCTGAAATCTGGGCCATGTTTTCCTAAGCTTTGGTTCCCTCCCCTACCTTGGGGAGGTGAATCTCCTCTCCTTCTCTCTCTAATTTACTTTCTAAATAAAATACATTTACTTTCTGAAAATACATCTTTCAGTCTAAAAAAAATCTGAAATCCATCCATGGCAGGTGACACTTCCATCACCAGCACCATCACCACAAACGTATTCATGTCTGACAACACTTTAACCACCATCATGACCACAAATGTCTCATAGCCAACAGCACCTCAGCCACCAACACTGTCACTACAAGCACCTTGTGGGCAACAGTGCCCCAGCCACCAATATTACCACCAGCACCATTTTTATCACTAGCACCATCCCCACAAATACCTCACAGCTGGCAGAATGTCGGTTACCACCATCATCACAGACTCACAAAGGCCTCTAAGACTGGCAGTGCCTCAAACCACCAACACCGTTGCCACAAACACCTCCAAGGTCAGCAACTTCACCACCAACATCAGTACCACGGGCGCCCACGACCCCAGCAGCAGAGCCCTGCCACCCACGCCACAGCCCCCACCATCTTTCCCAACCATACCAGCCAAGGCTCTATCACCGCCACCAACAACAGCATGAGCCGGTGCTGAGGTCAAGTCCACTGGCATTACTTTCCCCAACCACTGTCTCCACCCACGGCCCTGGCCGTCATTGTTGGCAGCACCCCCAAAACCAGGATTTCCGGCCGCTCTCTGGGAAATTGAGATGTTTTTCTTCCAGTTGATCAGGAGAGCCAATGGGACTGCAGGACTGGGTCCCCAAGTCCTCAGTGTGGGACCAGCTTAGTCCTTTTCTCCCCTTCGCCTCACCCCAAGAAAATTCTCAGGCACAGTCCTCATCACCTCCCAGGTGGGAGGTTAAACCGCCGTTACTGCACCGACTTTCTTTTGCTTATATATATATTTTTTATTTTTTTGAGTTGAGTCTCACCCTGTTGCCCGGGCTGGAGTGCAGTGGCACAATCAGGGTTCACCACAGCCTTGACCTCTGGGCTCAAGCAACCCTCCCAAGTAGCTGCGACTACAGACACGCACCACCGTGCCTGGCTAATTTTTTTATGTTTTTATTTTTATTTTTTTGTAGAGATGAGGTCTTGCTATGTTGTCCAGGCTGGTCTCAAACTTCTGGGTTCAAGCGATCCTCCCACCTCGGCCTCCCAAAGTGCTGGGATGACAGGTATAAGTCACTATATCTAGACTTCTTTTGCTTTAAAATAGATTTCCAGGCTGGGCATGGTGGTTCACAGCTATAATCCCAGCACTTTGAAAGTCCAGGGGTTCGAGACCAGCCTGGGCAACATAGTGAGACCCCATCTTAAAACATAACATTTTCCTATAGTGATGTGTAGGAGAAGTTTCCATAGCTTTGGTCAGATTTTTCTAAGGGTCTTGGGGTCCACACCAGCTTGAACTGGATGTGTTTCTCACCCATGAAACAGTAACCAGGACTCAGCCCTCTGAGGGTACAGCAATGAAACAGGAAGCCAGCCAGGTTTGGTGGCTCAGCCTGTAATCCTAGCACTTTGGGAGGCTGAGGCAAGTGGATTGCCTGAGCCCATGGATTCGAGACCAGCCTGGGCAACTTGGTGAGATCGTGTCTCTCCAATAAAACACAGCAAAAAAAAAAAAAAAAAAAAAAATTAGCCGGCCATGGTAGCATGCGCCTGTAGTCCCGGTTACTTGGAAGGCTGAGGCGGAAGGATCATTCGGAGTCCAGCAGGTCGACGCTGGGGTGGCCATGAGTGTGCACTGCACTCACTTCAGCCTGGGCAACGGAGTGAGACTCCAACTAAAACAAAAACAAAAACAAAAAAACCCCCAGGAAGCCAGGAAGGTGTCCTGCCTGTTTGTCACAAGGTCATCCAGAAGTAGTGTCAGAGCTGGGTTCAGATCCCATAGCTTGGGGCCAAATTCGGAAGGGATCTCAGAGATTGGGTAGGAATTGGGAGATGACCTGTCAGAAGTGTGCATGACCCAGTCTCTCCTTTCTCCCTGCCTTTTCCCAAAGGGCCACCATGGGGTTTCTAGCTGGGATTCCCACAGCCAGACCACATCCCGGGGGGTGGGACTCCCACACCAGCCACACCAGTCACAGATCCTTCCTCTTCTCCTCCCAATAGGGGCAACTGGGGCTTCCCGGAAGACCAAAAATTAAGGGTGGGGCTTTGCTTTCGGGGAGGCAAGGCTGCGAAACCTCGGTTCCTGCCTCGCTTTTTTTCTTTTTTGAGACAGGGTCACCCAAGCTGGAGTGATCATAGCTCACTGCAACCTCAAACTCCTGGACTCAAGTGATCCTCCCTTCTCAGCCTCCAAGTAGCTGAAATTACAGGCATGAATCACCAAGCCCATCAAATTAAAAAAAAAAAATTCTTTTTTTAGTTGGAGTCTCACTCTGTCACCCAGGCTGGAGGGCAGTGGCATGCTCCTGGCCACCACAGCCTCGACCTGCTGGGCTCAGTAGAACCTTTCACCTCAGCCTTCCAAGTAACTGGAACTATAGGCATGTGCCACCATGCCCTACTAAATTTTTAAAAAATTTATTGCCCAGGCTAGTCTTGAACCCATGGGTTCAGGCAATCCTCTCACCTTGGCCTCCCAAAGTGCTGGGATTATAAGCATAAGCCACCGTGTTCAGCCAAGTTTTTAAAATTTTAATTTTAATTGTTTTTTGAGTCCAGGTCTCATTCTGTCGCACAGGCTGGAGTGCGGTGGCACAATCACATCTCACTGCAGGTTTCACCTCCTGGGCTCAAGTGAGCCTCCCAAATAGCTGGGACTACAGGAATGGTGCTATGCCCAGCTAATTTTTTTGACTTTTTGTAGAAACGAGGTCTTGCTTTTTTGCCCAGGCTGGTCTTGAACTCCTGGGCTCAAGCGATCCTCCTGCCTCAGTCTCTCAAAGTGCTGGGATTATAGGTATGAGCCTCCTTGCCCGGCCTAGCTTATTATTATTGTTGTTGTTGTTGTTATTATTTTGAGTTGGAGTCTCATTCTGTCATCCAGGCTGGAATGCAGTGGCATGCTCCCAGCCACCACAGCCTCGACCTACCGGGCTCAGGCCATCCTTTCACCTCAGCCTTCCAAGTAGCTAGAACTCCAGGCACGTGCCACCATGCCTGGCAAACTTTTTGATTTATTGTAGAGATGAGGTCTCACCAAGTTGCTCAAGCTGGTCTCGAACCCCTGGACTCAGACAATCCTCTCGCCTCTGCCTCCCAAAGTGCTGGGATTACAGACTTGAGCCACCATGCCCGGCTTGTTTTTAAACTTTTTGTAGTAGAAGGGCCTTGCTATGTTGTCCAGGCTGCTGTTGAACCCCTGGTCTCAAGTGATCCCTCCTACTTCGGCCTCCCTAAGTGCCGGGATGACAGGCGTAAGCCACCACACCTGGCCCTCAGTCTGTCTTTCTAATCCAAGAAATCCTGCCTCTGCCTATAGGCATGAGCCATCACACCCCAAAAGGATGCCCTTTCTGACTCCAACTGTATCCCTTCACCAATGTGGGCAGTTCCCATACTTTCCTCCTCCAAATCAGAACAGTCTGGCGCTGACCATGGCTGGGTTCTTTTTGCTGCTGTCCTCTGCTCGATGCAGTTTAGTGGGGATCATGACTAGGATTACCATCTGGCTGTCTGACCAGGCCAGAGTGTCAGAAGGAGCTAATGTCTGCAGCAATGGGACAATGGGGATGGTGGCCTCTTCCCCAGGAAGGGCAGTGATGGAGGTGATGTGGCCCCAGGAGGCCAGAAGGCTGCAGAGAGAACAGACATTCAACTACCATGCCTTTAATGTGGGGTACAGGCCGGGCACCGTGGCTCACACCTGTGATCCCAGCACTTTAGGAGACCGAGGTGAGAGGATCACTTGAGTCCAGAAGTTCAAGACCAGACTGGGCAACATAGTGAGACCTTATCTCTACAAATACTGAAAAAATTAGCTGGGCGTGGTGGTTCATGCCTGTAGTTCCAGCTACTCAGGAGCCTGAGGTGGGAGGATTGCTTGAGGCCAGGAATTGGAGGCTGCAGTGAGCTGTGATCATTCCGCTGCACTCCAGCCTGGGCAACAGAATGAGACCCTGACAAAAAAAAAAAAAGAGAGAAAAAGAAAGAGAGAGAGAGAAAGGAAGGAAGGAAAAAGGGAGAGAAAGAAAGAAAGAAAGAGAGCCAGGCTCGGTGGCTCAGCCTGTAATCCCACACCTTTGGGAGGCTGAGGTGAGTGGATTGCCTGAGCCCACGGGTTCGAGACCCGCCTGGGCAGGCGAGACCTCATCTCTACGATAAATCAAAAAATCAGCGGGGCGTGGTGGCGCGTGCCTGTAATTCCGGCTATTTGGAAGGCTGAGGCGGAAGGATCGCCGGAGCCCAGCAGGTCGAGGCTGCGGTGGCCGGGAGCGCCCACTGCACTCCAGTGTGGGTGACAGAGTGAGACTCCAACTCAAAAAAATTTAAAAAATAAAAATAAATAAAATAAATAAATAAATAAATAAAAAGAAAGAGAGAGAGAGAAGGGAAGAAAGGAAAGAGTATTTCCATGCAGGCCCATCTGTCTGTGTCTCTACTGTGCATCCGGGCACAGCCCCCCCAACCCATATAACCTGGGTCCCCCAAGACACTCGGGTCACACAAATGTATTGCCATACCACCTCATATCACACACACGTGGTCACTCACCTGAGCCACAGGCCCAGGTGCAGACACGCGCCACCCTGTGCACCGACGTGCACACTGAGCACACTCACCGCCAGACACCCGCAGTTCCATCCACAGCTTCGCCACCTCCTCCTCGAGCCCCTCCAGGAAGTCTGAGGTCCTGCGCCTCTCGTTCAAGTCTTGGGGGTAGAGGGGCGGGTGGGGGGCAGTGCTCAGAGACCGATCGGCCGGCAGGGCCACCCTCCTTGGCCTCCCCCCAGGCTCCCCGCCGAGCCTCACTCTGGGATTTGAGGGTGTTCAGATCCGCCTGAAGTCCATCCAGGATCCAGGACAGCTCGGAGTCTGCCGGGTGGAGGAGAGCAGGGCTGGGGTCAGGGACGGCTTGTGCAGGCCTGAGGGTCCCCCAGCCCGGCCCCTGGAACTCTGGGACACGACCTCCCCCATGCGACCTGGACTCAACCGCCCCCACCCCTGCCAGTCCCAGACTCTCACCCTGAGATTTCATCTGCTTCTGGGCAGCTCGGAGTTCCTCCAGGCTCTGCAACATCTGGGCAGCTGTTTGCAGGGGAGGAGGCTGGGGAGTTGTCGAGTCCCCAGAGCCTCCCCCATCTCCCCCTGCCCCACCCTGTGCCCTCTCCACCTGAGTTCTTTGCAGTCCACAGGTGCTGGGAGGGGCACAGCTGGTCCACAAGGTCATTTAGACCTCCTCCCCTCCCCCCTCCAGACCCCAACCAGATATCACTCACCCTGGGATTGCTCGGCTGTCTGGTCACTCTGGTGTCTTAAAAAGTTCTTGGAAACTTGAGAGACTGGGCGGGGAGAGAGAAGAGGTGTCCTCAGAAATCTTTAAGGCAGGTCCCTGTGTGCAGGGGTCCCCTCGTATGATGACAATCGCTGCTGCTCCTGTCTTCCCTCCTTCCTTTATTTCTCCTTCCTTTTCTTTCTTTCTCCTGCCTTCCTTCCTTCTTTTTCTTCCTCCCTCCCTCCATCTGTCTGCCTCTGTCTTTTTTTGGTAGAGTTGGGGTCTCACTCTGTCGCCCAGGCTGGGGTGCAGTGGCACAATCATGTCTCACCACAGCCTCGACCTCCTGGGCTCAAGTGATCCTCATGCCACCGTGCCTGGCTAATTTTTCTTATGTTCTGTAGAGACAAGGTCTCCCTATATTGTCCAGGCTGAAATTCCTGGCTTCAAGTGATCTTCCTGCCTTGGCCTCCCAAAGTACTGGAATAACAGGCATTGGCCCCCATGCCCGGCCCTGTCACGCATTTCGGTTTACAATATTTAAACATGAGATGGATTTATTGGACGCAGCCCCATCAGAAGTCAGGGGCATTTCTATTAAGACGTTCGTGGGAGCTTCTCCGAGCCTCTCTGGGTCCTCCCGAGGTCGTGGGGAGCCACAGAGGCGTGGGGTCACATGGCCCAGAGAGGGGCATTCCCACAGATCAGTGGCAGAAGCAGGATAAGAGCTGGTATCCCAACCCTCACCTCCATGCCCCTACCCTCTCGGGGCCCCCCATACCGTTCTGGGCAGCTGTTTCTTCCAGTTGTTTCAGACTCCGTAGGGTGTCCCAGTCTGGGGAGGGAGAGAAGAGGGGAGGGCGTAGTTGTCAGGTGACTCCCCCCTGCTTGCACCCCACCTACCAGCTGGGAATGGAGGCCATGCAGGTGCTGAGAAGCTGGGAAATGGGGTGCTGGGAAGTGAGGGGCCCTGGAGGGCGGAGCAGGTGAGGCCATGGAGGAGACAGGATAGGGAGACCGGGGTCCGAGGAATGTGTTGGGCTCCTCAGATGGGGGGTCTGGGAGGGAGCTCGGAAGGCTTGGGGGGCCCATGAGGCTGGGGGTGAACTCACGCCACAGGAGAAGCAAAGTCAGCAGCCCGGCCCACAGCGCGGCGGTCACCAGCCCCAAGAGCACGAGCTGTGTCCCCTGCCTGCAGCAGCGCTTCCTGGGACGCTCTGAGAACCCTGTTGGCGGGGACGTGATGAGAGGTGGAGGGTGAGGCTCAGCCTGTCTCCCCGTCACCCAGAGCCCCTGACATCCCTCGAGCTTGTCCAGAGCCCACACTGAAGCAGAGGGTCTCAGTGGACCACGGCACACCTCCTCTGCCTGACTCAGGTCCAGAGAGACAGAGTTGCAGCCAGGAGCTGAGACCACCCCCTTGTCCCCTGCAACCAAAGCTGGGTCCCCCAGGCTTACCTCCAGAAGGCTGGGTCCTCCTTTTCCCTTCTGACCCCAGCCCCCACCCTTACACCCCCGGACTCTCACACTCTACCCTGATGCCCTGTGGTGGGTCCCCGCCCCTCCCCTCACCCTGACTTTGGGGATTCATGGGGCTCAATTCCCTCCTTCCTGGTTCCCGGTCCGCTTGGTCTCCGACTCTATCAGGCTCCCAGCTCCTGGCCAGCTGGGGCGGGTTTTGTGGTGAGGGTGTTAGTCAGAAAAGGGAGGAACCCTCAGCTTACCTCTCCTGCCTGGCTCCGTGCCAGGGGAGGCCAGTCGGGCTCACATCCTGGGGGCCTTTCTGAGAAACGCCCCCTCCTTCCCAGGGAGGGACTGGGGATCCCCCCTCCTCTCCTAGCTGGGAGGTGGGAGGTGACGGTTTTTGTTTTTGCCAGTGTCAGCACCAGAGGGTCCTCCCACCTGAGTACCGAGTTTCCTCCATAGTGGACCTGCTTGGATTCTCCTGGAGACGGGGCATTCACTCCCTAACGTCCACTTAGTGGCCACAGTCACAGCTCAGACAGGGATCTGTGTTTGAACGAGGGCGAAGTGAGGAGTCAATTACCAGCACAGGACAGCGTCTGGCACTTGGGGACTTTGTCCACGACCTGGAGTCCCTAGGGAGGTTAGCTGGAAGACACAGTTGGTGCAGAGGGACACCAACCTGAGATCATAAGTGGACACCCCAGACCACGTCCCACGTAAGGTATGCCGCAGGTGCTCAATACATGTGCACCTGTGAGATCTTGGCAAGTGACTTAATGAACCTCAAAACTTCTATCCTTGTCTCTGTAAAATGATTCTGTTAATCATAGCTACACTGTTGGGTGGTGATCTTTCTACATGAATGTGTAAAGTGCTTTGAACCTGGTCTGGCACATATTAAGCACCTAAAATATTACCAGCTCTTTTTAATTTAGAGACGGAGGTCTTGCTATGTTGTTCAGGCTGGTCTCAAACTCCCGGCCTCAAGTGATCCTCTTGCCTCTGCCTTCTGAGTAGCTGGGATTACAGGCACGAGCCACCACACCCAGACGCAGCTCTTACTACTGTTGCTGCCTGTGCAACCTCAGCTGAAGACTTGAGCTTTCTGAGCCTCAGTCTTCCCCTCTGTAAAATGGGGTGGTGACAGTATTCAACACATGAGGCCACGACAGGATCAAATGAGATTGTAGGGTATGGGAGGTTTTCCACGTGGGGCTGCACACGGTGGGTCTTTAGATCCTAAGCACTTACCAAAGTGTCTACTCTGGGACACGTCCTGTTGGGAAATGCTGATATCTGTCACCCAGGGTTCTAGCTTCCTTCTCTGCGAATGTGCCCGGGGCATTTGTAAAGTATTTGACTTTAAAGCACCTACTCTCTGCTGAAGAGCATGGGCCGTGGATTCAGACCAGTCTGGGGGGTCACTGGCTGCTCTCCAATCCCTACTTGCTGTCTGGCTGTGGGCAAATCTCTGTCCCTCTCTGAGCCTCACAGAAGCCGGCTGTGGAGCAGTCAGGCTCTGATCAGTGGCAGCTCAAGCCAGCCCTTCTAATATTGTGGGAAGAGGGGAGAAGTGCCACCATCCTGTGGCCACGACTGCAGGGGAGTCTATTTTTTTTTTTGAGTTGGAGTCTCACTCTGTCGCCCAGACTGGAGTGCAGTGGCTGCTCCCAGCCACCACAGCCTTTACCTGCTGGGCTCCGGCGATCCTTCCGCCTCAGCCTTCCAAGTAGCTGGAACTACAGGTGCGCACTACCACGCCCGGTTAATTTTTGATTTATTGTAGAGATGAGGTCTCGCCAAGTTGCCCAGACAGGTCTCGAACCCGCGGGCTCAGGCAATCCACTCACCTCAGCCTCCCAAAGCGCTGGGATTACAGGCTGAGCCACCGAACCTGGCTGAGTCTATTTTTTAAAATTCTTTTTTTTTTTTGAGTCCAAGTCATTCTCAAACTGCTGGGCTCAGGCGATCCTTTGCCTCAACCTTTCAGGTAGCTGAAACTGCAGGTGCGTGCCACCACACCTGGCTAATTTTTTGATTTATTATAGAGACGAGGTCTCATCAATTTGCTCAGTCTGTGGTCTCCAATCCTTCGGCCTCCGCCTCCCAAAGTGCCGGGATGGCAGGCGTGAGCCACGGTATCCAACCTTAAAATTATGTTAATTCTTTAGTGATGGAGTCTTGCTATGTTGTCCAGGCTGTTCTCAAACTTCTAGGCTCAAGCAATCCTCCCACCTCAGCCTCTCAAATCGCTGAGTTTACCAGTGTGAGCCACCACTACCAGCCTCCAGTCCGTCTTTCTAACCCAAGGGGTCCTGCCTCTGCCTGTAGCCTCTCATGGCTCCCCAGGGCCCTCCACGATCCACCCAGTGAATTTACCAAGCTCATCTTCTTGGCGCAGTCATGCCAGATGGCCAACTCTCTCTTCCCCCACTCAGGAACCCGCAGGCCTGGAGGTTCTGTCCACACTGTGGCCCCCACTGCCCACTGCCCACCTCCCTCCCCTGGCTGCATTCCCCTCCTGGTCACCCCTCAAGGCTGCTTCTCCCAAGGAGTCTCCAAGGTCCACTTCCCACCTTCACCCCCAACACACACAGACACGTGCTGACACACACTCACCCACAAGAGTTCGGAGTGTGTCCCTGTCCTCCCAGAGGGTTGAGGCTGGTGGTAATGGTCAGCTGGTGCCTCCAGGGAGAGAGCTTCTGGCAGGAAGACAGCCACTTTCTTCTGTAAGCTGACTCCCCAACAGTTTCTACTTTTATAGCCCTAATTATGGGCTTGTCACCCCACAACATGACACGCATGGCCCGCCTTGGAGGGCCCCGAGGCCCGGTGAAGTCCATACTATTATTATCTCTATTTCTCAGGTAAGCCAGCTGCGGGAGGCCCAGAGAGGCCAATCTACCACTTCCTAAAAAGCTGAGGAAGGGGTGTGATAGAGGTAGGATTTGAACCAAAGACACTGTGCACCAAATCACTATGCCCCTATGGGCATAGTGAGAGCTTGTCTCTGCCTAAAAAAATTTTAAATTAACAAATAAAAAAAGAGGGGAAGAGAGAGTAGGAGGAGGAGAAGCAGAAGGGAGGGAGAGAGGAAAAAGAAAGATATTCGAGATAGCATTTAGGTCAAATGCTGACGGTTTTGTTGTTTAGTTTAATTCAGTAGCAACATATGCTGGGCACAGTTCTTAGTGTTTTACATATATCACACATTTAATTTTCTTTTCTTTTTTAATTAAAAAAAAACTTTTTATGTCTGGGCATGGTGGCTCATGCCTGTAATCCCAGCACTTTGGGAGGCCGAGGCGGGAGGATTACTTGAGCTCAGGAATTTGAGACCAGCCTGGGCAACTTAGTGAGACCTCGTCTCTACAAAAATAATAACAATTAAAAAAGAAAAAACATTTTTTAGAGACAGGATCTTGCTCTGTTGCCCAAGTTGGAGTGCAGTGGCATGATCACAGCTTGCCGCAGCCTTGACCTCCTGGGCTCAGGGGATTCTTCCATCTCAACCTTCCAAGTAGCTGGGACTACGGGTGCTGCCACTATGCTTGGCTAGTTTATTTTATTTTATTCTTTGTAGAAACAGAGGTCTTACTATGTTGTCTAGACTGGTCACAAACTCCTGGCCTCAAGCGATCCTCCCACCTTGGCCTCCCAAAGTGCTGGGATTACAGGCATGAGCCCACTGTACCCGGCCAAACACGTTTTATTTTCATAACTACCCTAGGAAGTTGATGCTTTGGTTATCAACACTGCCTTATGGGTGACGGATGTGAGTCCATCCACTGGGGCCAGGACCATGCTGTCTTCTGCGTCACCCTGGGTCAAGTGGCCCTCGGTCCATGTCTGATGAACCCTGGTGGTCTAAGGTTGTTCATTTTGGGTCCCTAAATGTCCTCTCGACCTTGACCTGGGCTCATGGCTGAGGATGGGGATGTTAAGGAAGAGACAGAGTTGGCAGAGAGCGGAGGAGATAAGTCGCCATGGGCTGTGGGGTCGGGGGGGGTTGGTGGTGCAGAGGATAGATTTGAGGCCAGGCAGGAGTGGGGTGTTGAGGAGTGGGAGCCCTAAGGGGGTCTGTGATGGGGCCCACATGGGAGTGAGGACCCTGGAGGGTCTGTTTCTGGGGGACAGGCAGGGATGGGAGCCCAGGGAGAAGGCTGCCCCAGGGGCAAGACAGGCAAGAGGTGCTCTAGGAGGGGGCTGTCACCTAGTCCAGGGAGCAGAGGGTTGGCTTGTGGCAGCACCTGTGGGGATGGGAGGGACAGGTTGGTTTGGAAGAATCGGGCCCCGGACCTGGGGTCTGAGGAATGGAAAGGGGCTTGGACAATCCCTGGACCTGGGGCTGGGATGTCTGGGTGCACAGTCGGGGTGTCCCAGCAGTGGGGACACAGGGAGGGGCAGGAAGTCTGGATCTGGGGTGGGGCTGGCATGGAATCTGGTGTCTCCATTGGGTGCCATGGCTCACACCTATCATCCCAGCACTTTGGGAGGCGGAGGCAAGAGGATTGTCCGAGCCCAGGGGTTCTAGATCAGCTTGGGCAACATAGCGAGACCTTGTTTTACAATAAATCAAAAAATCAGCCAGGCATGGTGGCACACGACTGTAGTTCCAGCTACTTGGAAGGTTGAGGCGGAAGAATTGTCTGAGCCCAGCAGGTGGAGGCTGGGGTGGCCATGAGCATGCCACTGCACTCCAGTCTGGGAGACAGAGTGAGACTCTGATGAAAGAAAGGAAAGAAAGAAAGAAAAAGAAAGAAAGAAAGAGAGAGGGAAAGAAAGAGAAAGAGAGAAAGAGAGAGAGGGAAAGAAAGAATGAAAGAAAGAGAAAGAGAGAGAGAAAGAGAGAGAGAAAGAAAGAGAAAGAAAGAAAGAAAGGAAGAAAGGAAGGTAGACAGAAAGAGAGAGAGGGAAAGAAAGAAAGAAAGGAAGGAAGGAAGGAAAAGAAAGAGAGAGAGAAAGGAAGGAAGGAAGGAAGGAAGGAAGGAAGGAAGGAAGGAAGGAAGGAAGGAAGGAAGGAAGGGAGAGAGAGAGAGAAAGAAAGAAAGAAAAAGAAAGAAAAAGAAAGAAACTTGGTGTCCGGGCCAGGCCCACCCTGTGCCCTCCTCACCCCACCGTGTCCAGCGACAGCTCACTGCCTGCTGGGTCCCTGCCAAGACTCACCTCACACGCGACTACGCTTTGGGGACCCAGGGGACCCTGTCACGCCACTGCCCCACCCGCTTCCCCTCTGCAGTGCCCACACGGCTCTTGGTGGGGGAGGGAAGCGGGGAACAGAGAGCACAGCGGATGTGGGCTGCAGATCTGAGGTGTCGGTTCTTCTTTCGGGTTTAGGGTCCTCTAGGTGGTGGGGGATAAGCTAGGCCTCTCCCCCCGCCCCCCCAGCCTGGATTCGGACTCAACGGGGTCTAGTCTGATCCTAAATCATCCTCTCCCAGTCCCCACACTACA